TTGCGCTTCAGTAGTTTGGTGACCATCTCGAAACACTATTTTCAAAGCTTTTCCTAAAGTTTCTTGCCTATCATGTGAGTCTAGTCTTCGGACAGTCTGGAACAAAAAGTTTCCGAGGCAGCAAGATTCTGCCTGGTAGAGCGGGTGTAGCCTTGCTGACATGGTTACCTTAGCTATATAAATGCACTCCACATTTTTAAAGGAGGCATGAGATTTTCATATAAAGTGACCGTTGATCTTTTCAACTTCATTTATATATTACTTACCAAAGAGAAGGAGACAACTACTTTTTGAGAAACTTCATAACAATACGAGCATTAAGTTATATTTAGTGCTGTACAGAAAATTCTTTTTCACGATGGATCCCAAGTTTGTGACAGAGTACGTATGAAAGCTTGAGTTCCACTGAAGTTGATGGGTATAAAAGACTCAGCACCTTTTTTTTTGTAAACCTGTTGTTGCTAAATTTCGGTTTAACTAGATTTACCCACTTCCAATAACTGCGAAAAACAAAAAGTTCGAATGTTTATTTTCAACAATGAGCATATATGATAATATTGATTTCTACTCAATTTTCAAAGAATTTTCGTTTAAATATTTGTAAATATCATATTTTTTTAGAATGGCGGAACCTAAAGGAAGTGCGCCGACCGAGGAAAAGTCGGATGTGGCTTCACCGTCTGAAGAGACGAAATCTGAGATTAAAACACCAACTACACCCACCCGTGATTCCTCCTCAGCAGTCCAATCGCCTCAAAGTCCACTTCCACAAAGAAAGCCGTCTACAATAGAAAGATCAAATACGGCTGACTCTTCTCAAGAAGCGTCCTCCTCCCGGACGTCAGGATCTCGTCGTAGATCATCTTCAAGAAAGGCTTCTATCATATATCCATCAGCACTTCCTGACTCATCAAGATCATTACGCAAATTTAGCGTTCCAGCCTCCAATTCTCGAAAAGTATCTAGGGGATGGGTGGGAGGAGAAGTGCCTATAGCACTTCAACCGAAAGCTTCACCAAATTCAAGCATATCATCAACATCCAGCATACCGGAAATTCCTATGAAATTCCAGTCCATAGATCTTGAACGAGAGCTTCCAGAAATATTTTCGTAAGTTTGTTTCTCCACTAACAAGCATTAGACACGACACATTTTTCAGTACATCTCTCAATCCGTCGATTCAAGATCCCGATATGAGCGCGTTCTATTCAAGAATAAGAAGCCCTCCACCTATGTACATGAGCCGAAAATGTGAGTAAATTCACAATGAACTTTTTTTT